GGGGGGTCCCTGGATGCACCCTCCAAGCCCCGCTGTGCTGGGCTGCGGTGCTGGGGTGCCAGAGCCCCCTGGGGGGCTGCGGGGGCAGTGCTTGGTTTTAATTAAAACTTTCCCTGTGATCCTGCTCTGGCTCACCACATCCCCAGCTCTGCCAGTCTAATCCATGGGCTGCTCCAGCCAAACTTGACAGAGCCTGGGGCGCTCCAATCTCCTCCTTCTGGCCTCAAAATAATGAACCTGCTCTAAAAAAATGAGCATAAAATAAATTACATAATGCATATCTTCCTCCTTTCCAGTGAGGGGAAAGGCCTGGGCAGCCCAGTGCTTGGAGAGCCCCAGGAGCTGCAAGAGTACATCCCTGTGCTGGGGGAAAGTTTGCTTCTGTGCTGCCCGGGCAGGGAGCTCCTCCTAGGGCTGGCTGCATCCCTGGCTCTGTCTTAGGGCACAGCAGGCAACCCCAGGGGCTGCCTTCCTCTCGAAGAGGAAACTGAGGCATGCAGTGGCCGTCACTCTGGGAGCCAGCGTGTGCCTGGGATGGCTCATGGCTCTGCCCCATGATGAGATCCAGTGTCCTCAGGTTGGGCTTGGCAACAGGGTGAGGAGGTTTGGGGTCCCAGCAGGGCTGGGTTGTGGGGCTCAGGGTCTGGATTTGTCATATACACTCCAGTGCAAAGTCCATCTGTGCCAGGCTGTTCCCCGGGTGTGAGGGTCTCTCTGGGGCTAGGGAGACTCCTCATTCTCCTGTAGGGACTCCTCATTCTCCCTCAGGGACTGAGCCACCTTTGGAAGCTTTTTTTCCCCCCTTCTTAATCTGATTATTCCGTTCCTCTTCCAAATTGGAAATGGAAACTGGAATTTCCCATGAAACAAATTCTGCCACCGCCTTCTCCCTGGAGGGAAGAAAAAGAAAATGAAAATTTCAATTAAAGCCATTGGAGCCTCTGAAATGAAAACTGAGGTGAGCTGAAGCTGTTTGTGCAGAGCTCCTCAGCCTGGGCTGTGCATGGCTGGTAGCTCTGGCTGCAGGGTGACACTTGGGGGTGACAGGGGCAGGAGTTGTGCTGTGGGTGCAGAGGTGGTTGTGTCCTCCGCTCTCCCTCTCACTTCCAGCCATTCTTTTCCTTTTGTTTCAACTTCCAGCAGTGGCTCATGTAAGAGGGGGAAGAGCATTTTGCTGCCCTGTGGATCAGGAGCATTGCAGCATAGCTCAGTGCTCTCCACTTTCCTTCCTGGGGGACCCCCCAACTTGGTGGGTGGCTCTTGTGGGACCTCCACCCTGAGGTAAAGGGGTGCCAGGAATGGATGGGACATGGCAGGGGCCTGTTCCCTGGGGAGATAAAGCCAGAGGGGAAGGGGAAGGCGCCCTGAGCCACTGTAACCTGAGGCGCAAGAGGAATTTGCCAGGTCTGGGGGAGAAGGGGAAGCCTTGCCTGAAACAATAAAAGGAGCCCAACGACTTTGCCAATGTTATTCTGAGCTGGGAAAATATTATTGCTGGGCAAGAATAGAAGGAGACGACAGCATTTTCCTGGGCTGGACCCAGTGATACAGGAGGATCTGAGATGCTGTGAGGACACAGGGAGGAGGGTACCCCTAGGGAGATGAGGTGGAGGGGCCACCAGTGCTTGGTGCCAGCTCTGCTTCCAGGCACAGGGGTCTTACCAATGAGGATAGAGCTGCTGGGGCTGTATTCCTCCATGCTGCCAGCATCACCAGTTAGGGGCACTGGGACTGCCCTTGTGCAATTTGGTAGGGATGGGACCTGTGTGCGATGGGGTTGAGGTGGCTGTTGTCCCCCTCCAGGGACAGACCTTGTCTCACAGGCCCCAAAAGAGGCATTTCCCACCAGGATGGGGGCATTGTGCTGCTGGCCACCTCCTTGCTGGAGGCAACAAATGTCCCTCCAGCAAGAGCAGGGCTTGGTACCCCAGTGTCCTGGGCTGCTGGCAGCTGGGCTTGTCCCAGCACCACCTCCCCTCTCATGGGGACATGTGTGTGGGATGCTCAGGCTGAGGGGTTTCCATGGGGTCAACAGCAGCGGCTGGCAGTCTTCCTGGCTGGAGGGTGTTTGGGGATATGGCCGGGATCATCAATGGTGCTTTGTCCTCCTCTTCTCTGTCTGGCGGTCATGGTGGCCTGGTCCAGGGTTGGGGCAGTCACTGGGATGGGTTTTCAGAGCCCTGTGAAACCGAGCCATTCCCTCTTGCCCTCTCCCTGTGTGGCAGCTGTGTGGGCGCCGTCGTGCCGGCCTGCTGACCCTGAAAGTCATTTCCTACTGGAAAACAGTCACACCACTGCCCCCGCATCGTCTTCACCATGGGGGTCCCTCTGGCATCCCATGGGATTCAGGCTTGGACATGCTTTGGGAGCTTTGTCAGACCCTGTTGCTTTGGGATGTGATGTCCATCCTAGGGATGCAGAATCTCCATGCCAGTGTCTCTGCCCAAGTGCCATCTCCATGTTGTGCTGTGGAGGAAACCTCCCTGCCAGTGAGGTCTGGTGACAGTAGCAGTGGCAGGCTTTGTGTGCTGTTTTCCCCATGGCACTGGCTGGATGCCTGCTATTGTGTTCCCTGCTGGCACCCGGGGTGGGCAGGACCTGCTTTCTGCCCACCCACATCCGGTCTCCCAGCTCTGCATGAGCTCAGCCTGGTGCTGAAGGCATGGCACAGCCCAGCTTGCTGTGGCATGGCCACAGTAGGAGTTTGGGATGGTTCAGCCAAACCTTGCTGGGCACAGCAGCCCTAGCTGGAACCCTGCAGCCTGCTGGCTCTACAGCTTTGTCCTTGGCCGACAGGGAGAGCAGTACTCTAGCCAGGTTGAGGCCAGGATGTCTGTGCCTCCAGGAAGGGATGGAGATGGCTGGGAACAGCTCTTCTGCTGGCTCCAGGATGGCTCCATGATACGCAGAAGCAGCAGCTTGGAGGGACCCTCCTACCTCTGTGCCCATCACAACTCTCAAGATGCCCCTTGAGAAAGAAAGCCAAGACCCTTCAGTGCTGCCACCAGGGTGTGGGGTCTAAGCATGGTGTCATGTTTCCTAAGCAGGTGTGAAGGGTATCTGGGGGCTGGAGTACCTGCACAAGTCATTTTTCCTTACTGTGGTGCTCCTTTGATGTAAGAGGGGTCTTGCCTGTCTGGGAGGGTACATTTGATGTGAGCAGTGGTTACAGAGCCCTGTGGGTCTTCACGGCCAGGACGGCTCCTCTTGACACTTCTCCCTCTCCCTGACAGAGCTTTTGGGCACAAACCGCTCCGTCCTCTTCTTTGGTCACCGAGGCTTCCTGGGCTTCCACTCCCTCTACCTGGATGAGTACCGTGACCGGCTCTTCATCGGGGGGAAGGATGTGCTCTACTCCCTGCTCCTGGACAGGGCCAGCATGGATACCAAGGAGGTGAGCTTAATCCTGCTGAGCACCCTGGGGTCTCTGTACCCACCCTGGCCCCCCTATGGACCTGTCACCCCTTTCAGTAGACAGTGCCCAACTGACCCAGGAGAAGTCACCCTGAAACAAGACCCTCCCTGAGGATATCCCCATCTCAAGTGCCCTAAAATGATCCCAAAAATTTGTACTGCCTGGCAAGGGTGGTCTGGCTGTGGTGGCTGGAGGGCAGTTAGCCAGCAATTAGTCATAGCAGCCTGTGAGACTGTTGGTGCAGTCTGCCAGTGATTTCTGGGCACTGAGCAATGTTTTGGACCCCCCTCTTCTTAAAAACTGCCACTGGGAGAGTGAGTGCTGCCCATCCCCATCTGGGCATCCCCTTCATGGGCCAAATAGTCACCTGAAAGCCTGCAGACACAAGGAGCTAAAGGCATCCATCACTGCAGCAAGCTGTGCGAGGGCTCAGCTGGCAAAGTCCCCAGACCTCTCCTGGCTCCTTGGAGGGAGAGGTGATGGACCAGAGTGATGGTGCTGTGGATGGTGGCTCCCATCCTCCTTTACCCTCTCCACTTTGACTTCTTGTTTTTCAAACATGGCTTTGGGCTGTTCCTGCCTGAAGAAAGAGGAGGAGGAAATGAAGTGCTGGGTCACTGCGATGGGGTCAAGGGCTTGTGTACCCAAGCTGCCCTTGGTCTGAGAGCTGCCAAAGGCTGTGAGGGACATGGGATACATCACTCCTGATGTCCCCTGGCTCTGCTTCCCCAGGCCACCCACAAGCTCACCCCCATCCAGGCGAGCTCCAGCCATTCGCAGGGTGACCACCCAAATCCAGCCGGGCTGGGAGCTGTGCATCTTCCCAGGAGGAAGGGTCCTGCCTGGGGTTGCAGGGTGGGAGCCCTGGGCTTGGTGAGCTTAAGGGAGCTGTGATCCCTCTCTCTGTCCCTCTCTCCATGCCCTTGCCATCAGCAGCCTGGGCACATGTATTTGCATGGCTGGGTCCCTGCTATCCCCCCTCCCTGCTCCAATAAGCCCTTTGTGTTCCAGATCTACTGGCCGCCCCTCCCCGGGCAGACAGAGGAGTGTGTTCAGAAGGGGAAGGACCCAGGGGTGAGTCTCACCCAATGCATGCTTGGCCCTGAGCTGAGGGTTCCCCTTGTGACCCAGTGCTAGATGGCTCTTGCTGTGCCAGGGTTGTGCCATGTCATCCCACTGGGGATGGCTCTGTGGGGCTCTCAGGGCAGTTAATGCTGGGATAGAGCATGGGACCATCCTGGTGCATGAAGGAAACTGAGGTAGGGACTCAGTGGCCAAGCCTGGCCACATGAGAAGCTTGCTCCAGGTTTTGGAAATCCAACCTCTGTGTCTCCATTCACCTGCTTGGCCCCAGAGCAGTGACCAGCATATCTCAGCATGGCTGCACCAAGTGGGCAGGGATAGCCAGGCTCCAGGACTCAAGCTTGGATGGACCAAAACCCTGTGCTGTGCTTCCAGACCCCAGCAATGCTGTCTGGCCCATCCTGGCTGTCTCTGATGGTGGGAAACCTGTAACTCACTCAAGTTCGGTGACCTCACTCTCCAAACCTTACCCCTCTTTGCGTCTCCCTGCCCCAATATGAAATAGGACTATGGCAGAGAGAAAGTCCCCGAGGCTCCCCTAGCCCTGATGAATTGCTCCTGGGAGTCCCCATCCTGGTCTGTGTGTTTATTTTACCAGCTCTCACCGACAGATCCAAGCCAGGGCAGGCTCAACTTTTTATTTTTCTTGATCATGTATTTTTTTTCACTTGCTATTTTAGAGGCTCTTTGCAAAGAGAAAATAAACAGCAGGAGGCTGGGAACCCCTGGGGCGTCTCAGCAGTAGTGTTCCCAGCAGATGAGGGGCCTCGTGTCCTGCAGAGGGGGTTGATGGGGGGCAGGCAGGGCTAGTGCTGGTCAGGGGGAGCTGCCAAGCTAACAGTGGAGAAAGATGGGAGCCCTTTTCCAGTGGGAACTGCCAGGAGAGAATGCACGAGGTCAGAGGTGGCAGGTCTCCAGCCCTGGGGGTGTCATTGCTACTGTCCCCTGTAGAAGGGGACAGTTCCAGACAACAGCAATCAGGGCTGTCCTGGAGGCAGCCCAGAATGCCTGTGGGTCTCTGTCTCCAGTGTTTCCTCCTTTTGTTTCATCCCTGGCGCAAGCAGGAACATGACAGGGAAGGATGTCCCTGCATCTGGTCACGTCCTGGGAGCCAGAAGCTTGGGGTTGGGTTTGAAGCTTGCTGGGCAGATGACCTTGTTCCCCTGGCCAGCATGGGCTGTGTGACAGGGGGCGCGCACAGGTATCCATGGGCAGGAGATGCCCAGGTGCTTGCTGGATCCTGTGTGGTTTCCCTGGGATGCTCTTGGTGGCAGGAGAACCAGTAAAAAGCCCTGTCCTTTTGCAATGGGACGGGAACCATCCAGCTGAAGTGTGTGCCAGCCCTGTCAAGAGGTACAAGCTGCCATCTCGCAGCCCTGGCACTGGTCTGGAGGCAGAGAACCTGGGTGCAGCCCAGGGAGCCAGGGCTGGGGCTCACCCACTGTTGTAGGGACCCAGGCAGGGGTAGGGGGCTGGGGGTGGGTGAAGCACCTAGCCCCCCATGACTTTTCCCCTCCTGTGCTGTCCCCCCAGACTGACTGTGCCAACTATGTCCGTGTGCTGCACCCCTACAACCGGACACACTTGCTGGCCTGTGGGACAGGTGCCTTCCATCCTGTCTGCACCTTAAAAAAAAATTGTCTACGTGGGGCACCGTGGTGAGGTAGGGCAGCGTCTGAGCATCCCTGGCAGGACACCCCAGGGAGGTAGAACCCCATCATCTGCCTCCCTCCTGAGGGGCCTTGGTACTGCATGGGGATGCTGGATGGAGTGTTGGGCTCATCCCTCCCCTAAGCTGGGAGGGGAAGGTGTCAGGAACCAGCTCCCTGTTGTCCCTTCGTGGCTCTCCCAACTGTCTGGACTGGCGTCTCCCTTGAGTCATGTCCCCAGGGCCTGGTGTCCTGACAGGGGCTGAGGCACGGGCGGCATTTCCTCTCTCTCCTAGCTCTTTGCTCATAAATCAAGTTGGCCAGGGTGGAACAGCAGGGCCCCTGATCCCTCCTCACAGCCCAGCACTGTGCAGGCAGTGGGAGCCCTACCTTATCACAATGCCTCTGGCTAGGCAGACGGGCGAGCAGTGGGGCTGGCAGGTCCCTCCGTCTGCTGTGCATCCTCATAAGATCAGTCTTCCCTCAAGAAGCATGGATTCCACTTCCAGATGGTCCCTTTGGGTGCACTGATGAGGCACCTGTGAATGGGCAGGACCCAGTACCAGCCCCTGCTTGCCCAGGCACTGCCCAAGGCTCACCTGACTGCTCCCCCTCCCCAGCACACCTTCAGCCTGGACCCCACGAGCGTGGACACCGGCCGGGGCAGGTGCCCGCATGAGCCCAGCCGCGCTTTCGCCAGCGCCATCATTGGTAGGTTGTCTTGCTTGGGATCTGGGAGCCTTTGGGGTGCAGGACAGGCACAGTCTCTGTGCCAACCACCTTGGTGTGTTTGCAGGTGGGGAGCTGTACACTGGCCTCACTGCAGATTTCTTGGGACGTGATCCTGGCATCTTCCGCAGCATGGGGACCCGCTCCGCTCTGCGCACTGAGGTGGACCAGCGCTTACTCAACGGTAACGGCTCCCCTGTCCTCATCCATGCCCCCTGGCTGGGTTAATGCTGGGGACCATGAGCTTTATGGTGGCTGGAGCATCCACTGACCACAATGCAGCATCCCCCATGCCAGGTAGGAGCAGGGAAAGGCACCAAATTAGCAAGGTCTGGAGGTCCTCCTGGCTGGCATCCAGCCTCAGCATGGTGTGAGCTGTGCTCTCTCACTCCACTTGACATGGCTGGCTCTTGCTTGTAGACCCCAAATTTGTGGCAGCCCACTTGATCCCAGACAATGATGACCGGGACAATGACAAAGCCTACTTCTTCTTCACGGAGAAGGTGGTGGAGACAGACAACAAGGAGCACGCGATTGTCAGCCGTGTGGGGCGTGTCTGTGTGGTAAGATGCTGGTGGGGACTGGGGGGCACAGGGAGGCACCAAGTCACAGCAGTGGCCCTGATGGTCTCTGTCTCTGCAGAATGATGCTGGTGGCCAGAGGGTGCTGGTCAACAAGTGGAGTACCTTCAACAAAGCCCATCTGGTGTGCTCTGTCCCTGGACCTGGTGGCATTGACACTTACTTTGATGAGCTGGGTAAGGAGTGTATGGAGCTGTATCTCACCAGGCTAGGCACTTAGCTGGTCGCTTCAGGAAATTCCTGGGATTCCAGGAGAAATCCCATGGTTTAATTTCCAGAGGATGTCTTCTTGCTGAGGACGAAGGATGGGAAGAGTCCAGAGATATATGCCCTCTTCAGCACTGTCAGGTGGGTGGTTCAGCTCCAGCCTTTGGGGACATCCAGCTGCAGCTGCCCATAACCTGCCTTGTCACTGTCACCAAGGGTTTCTGGCTGCTCCCCAGCTCTGCCCTGGTCTGTACAGAGATGGTGCTCTCATGAGCCTCACTGTCACCAGTGTCAAGCAAAACTCTGGTCATCCCATTCTCTGTTCCCTTTCAGCCATGTTTTCCAGGGCTCTGCTGTCTGTGTGTACCGCATGGCTGACATCCGGGAGGTGTTCAACGGGCCGTTCGCCCACCGGGAGAGCCCCCATCACCAGTGGGGTGCCTACGAGGGCAGGGTGCCCTACCCACGGCCAGGTGTGGTGAGTGACTCCCTGGAGCTGTGTGTTCCCTCTGCTCCTCCAACTGCTCTTCCATGAGGCCATCCCCAATCTTCTCACCTGCTCCCTATGGGATCCACCGTGCGGCAGCTGAGGCCAAAATCTTGGCAAAGGGGTGGAGAAGATAGATTCCAAATTTGGAAGATGAGGAAGGATCCAAAGCAGCTCTGAGAGGCAATGGAGGGGGAAGGAGGAATGGGCGCTGGGGTGGCCAGGCTGATCTGGGCCCCTCTCATCCGCACAGTGTCCCAGCAAGACCACCAACCAACCCCGGCGGCAGTACAGCACCACCAAGGACTTCCCCGACGAGGTGCTGCACTTTGCCCGTGCTCACCCCCTCATGTACAAGCCTGTGTACCCCCGGCACCGCCGGCCCCTCCTGGTGAAGACCAACCTGCCCCACCGGCTGCGCCAGCTCGTGGTGGACCGTGTGGAGGCTGAGGACGGGCAGCATGACATCCTCTTCCTCGGGACAGGTGAGTGGCAGGAGCAGCATGCAGCAAGGAGCCTCAGTGCTGAGGCTACCAGTAGGCATACTGTTGGGGTGTGTGATGGCAGGGTGCTCACGCCTCCATCCTCCTCCTCCACGCAGATGCTGGCTCGGTGCTGAAGGTGGTGGTTCTGCAGAAGACAAGCTCAGCCACAGCTGAGGAAGTCCTCTTGGAGGAGCTGCAGGTTTTTAAGGTGACGTTTGCTGCCCACTTGCAAGGGAGAGGGCAGTGGGGTGAGCTCAGGTTGGGGACATCTGGAGACAGAGGCTCAGGGCTGTCACTGCACTGTTGGGCACTTGGAGGTCTCAGGGCTGTGAGAGCAGAGAGTGATTTGGGCTATTTTCACCCTCCCCAAAAACATTCCTGATGTCCCCCCAAGAACCTGCACTGAGTGAGCTGGGCTCTCTGCCAGCCTGACATCCACTCTCCTCCCCTGCAGATGCCTGTGCCCATCACGCAGATGGAGATCTCTGTCAAGCGCGTGAGTACAGATGTGGCTTGGTCACAGGGCTGGGGACAGGGCAGGTGCCCAGCAGGGCCTGAGCTGTGGTCACCAGCCTCTCAAAGCCACATCATGCTTGCCCTGGGGAGTCCTGGCTGAAGACTTTGAGTACCATGCCCATGAGGGCTGCCAACATCATTTTGCTGTTCCCTCAGCAAACACTCTACGTGGGCTCCAGCCTGGGGGTGGCCCAGGTACGGCTGCACCAGTGCGAGTCCTATGGCACAGCATGTGCCGAATGCTGCCTGGCCAGGGATCCCTACTGCACCTGGGATGGCACTGCCTGCACCTACTCCCAGCCCTCTGGCAAGCACCGCTATCGCCGGCAGGACGCCCGGCACAGTAACCCTGTGCACCAGTGTCTGGACCAGAACCTGACCGGTGAGAGACTGCAGGGCCCACAGGGCTGAGGGGCTCCTCCAGGTGCCCGAGATGTCTTGACATCCACAGCCCTTGGCATGCAGAGGGGCTTGCAGCCATCCCAGGTGGGCTGGGGCACCCTCATCTCCATGTCACATAGACCCAAGGGTTCCCCCTAGAGAAGGTGGTGTTGCCGGGGCTGGGGCCTGTCCGCAGGGACAGAAAGGGACTGAAGCCACGTGGTGGCCAAGGGGAGCTGACTCCTGGTCAGGGGGAGGCCTGGTGCTTCCCTCCCAGTGAATCTGTGCCTGTCTTCACCCCAGTGGATGACTTCGAGAGCGTTGAGAAGAAGGTGCTTTATGGGGCAGAGGACAACAGCACCTTCCTGGAGTGTGTGCCCCGGTCCCCGCAGGCCAGTGTGCAGTGGTTTGTCCAGAGACCCCCTGACGAGCAGCGGGACGAGGTGAGGCTCTCCCAGCACCTGCTCCCCTTGTGGGGACACAGGAGGGATGTTGGGCCAGACCTGGACCTCCCAACCTTATGGTGGCCAACAGGTGAAGACAGACGAGCGGATCCTGCAGACAGAGCAAGGGCTACTCTTCCGCAAGCTACACCGCAATGATGCTGGCATCTACTACTGCAAAACGCTGGAGCACGGCTTCACCCAGACCGTGGCCAAGACAGTCCTGGAGGTGATCCCCAGCGAGCAGCTGGCATACACCTTCCCCCGGGAGCGGGGGGATGAGTCCCCACGCCTGCTCTGCCCTGAGCCCCGGCTGGCGCCACAGGCTTCCAAATCCTGGTTCAAGGACATCATGCACCTCATCAGCTCCCAAAACCTGCGGCGGGTGGAGGAGTACTGTGCCCGGCTCTGGTGTGGCAGTCGCCCACACCACCGCAAGAGCAAGCTGGCCCAGGCCAAGCTGGCCCTGGCTGGGGTGGACGTGGGCAAGAAGGGACGGATGGCCAAGCCCCACGGTGAGAGGAACCGTGTGCCCCGGCAAGCGGTGGCCACTTAGCGAGGGGCAGGGTAATGGGTGTGGGGTGGCCGTGGGCAAGTTCCAGCTCCCTGTGCTGCTGGCAGCCCTGAGGCCTCTTGCCCTGGCGGGTGGCTTGCAGTGGTGCCAGTCTGGTTGCCCAGTGGATGAGCAGGTCCCTGTCCCCCTCGGTGTCTGAAGGGTCACCTCCAAAATGGGCAGTGTGGTGGGACACACTGTCCTCCTCCTTGCTCTTGATGGGTGCTGTGGCAGGTGGAGGCCACGGTCCCTGGGTGGGTTTGGGCTCAGCAGGTGTGGTGGCACTGCTGTGCTGTCACCCCAGGAGCTGGCTGGCTTCCCCTGCAAATAACAGGGCTGAGCATGGTGCCACCGGGAGCAGCTGATGGCTCCAGACTCCTTCCACAGCAGCACAGAGCCTGAGGAAGATGATGCCTGCTCTCACAGTGGGGAAAACAGCATCACCCCAAAAGGCCTCTGTGTCCAGGATAAACCCTGTCACCTACTGCACCCGGGGAGTCAGAGCTGTGCTGTGCCACCCCGGGTGTACCCTGGGGGCAGGGCTCCTCCCTACCTTCCCTAGGCACCAGGACATGCTCAGCAGTGCCAGCCTTTGTCTGGGTGCAGCTCCCTGCTTCCCCTCCATCCCCTTCCACAGCCACAGACCCTTTTAGGGCTGGAAAGCAAATGGCTGCCGGCAGGTTCAACCTGTTCCTGGGTAAACATGGGAGAGGCACTGATGCCACTGCTGTCACTGTGCCCAGGTGGGAGCAGGACCATGCAGAGGGTGGCCCCAGCACAGTCTGTGGGGGCTGCAGCCCAGGCAGGGTGTGTTTCTGGTGGTTGGTGGCCCTGTAGGGCTGGGTGGGATGAGGCTGGTGGAGCTAAACCTGCACGTGGGGCCTCCCCCGAAGGCAGGATTTGGGTGCATGGAGGGCACCCCCAGGCTGCCAGCCCCATCCCAGGCAAGGTGCTCCTTGCTTTCCTCACCCGACATGAGCTCACCCCTGGTCAGCCCAGGGTGATAAGGATCTGCCCCTTCCTGAGGCAAGGCAGCCCCACACAATGGTGTGAACCACAGCCCCCCTGGGGATGGGCATTGTTCAGAGCCAGAGGAACGGGAAAGAAAAATAATAATAATAGTAATTAAAGCCCCTAAATAGCTCACACAAAGCCAGGCTGTGATATCATCTCTCCTCCCTGTGTGTGTGTGTGCTTGTGCTGTAGCAGTGGAGCAGCACAGCTCATCAGGAGCAAAGTCCCCCAGCAGCACTGCCCTGTGCCACAGAGAGGGGCTGGGGGTTCCTGGCCTACTTCTCCAGCTCCCCATCCCGCCTCTCCTTCAAGCTCCAGATGCCTGCTTGGGGTGTCTGCTGGGGTGGGAGAACTGTGGTGGGGCTGTCAGGCTGGGACATGTTCTGCGGGGTGGGGAGCAGTGCTGGCAGTGCTGAGTTATGGGGCCAGACTGGAGCCGAGCACGTGGAGTTGGTTGATTGCAGGCCTGAGTGGCACAGGAGAAGCACCAACAAGCAGAGACAAGGAGGGATATGGGTAAAAGCCAGAAATGAGACAGGAGTCTTCAGGGCCTGGATTTAATAACTCCAAGTGCCTGCACTGACTCAGAATGCCTGTGCCCTGCTGGCCCTGAGCGACCTCCTGTGTTTGACAGAGCAGTGGCTGCACTGCCCAGTTTGGGGGGAGGCAGCAAGAGGGGTCCTGAGGCCTCAGCTGCGTGT